TGGCATTCTCAGTAATCAGCTTTATCTGGCCCTGTGGTGAACAAAACTGTTTGAAATTGGGTTCGTTTTGTCCTGCATGCATTTTTCCTCAAAATGTCGCTTGATCCTATGAACTACAAGGTCATTCAGTACATGCACGTCAAAAGACTGGAAACCCAAAATAGTCCACACAAATCAGTAAGTTTTGCCAAATGTGCTGGTCAAGTTTCTCTGGCAGTAGTAGCCTTCAGTTAGCTGAGTAGCTGATGTTGTTACAGAATAGAGTTGACGCTTGAGTATGTGAGTGGTGCACAGTGGGAGCGGAGCGAAATGATTTTGCCTAAGTGCAGAGCGACTTTTTAGATAGTTGGAGTATCTGTATTCTCTCTCTCTATGAAAACACTCCCAGCACTCCATTCCACAAGCCAAACCTTTTTTTTCCCCACATTGACTGCCTTTGCATGACATGAGTGATGAAGTCAGCGGCAGCTTGCACATGATGGCCATTCATATACAGCGTTTGCACTGCAAACTGTTTCTCAGACATTTGAAATGGAAATTCTTACCGATTGCAACAAAATTCAACAGATATTACACACAGTTATTCTTGTGTCGTCTGTTTTGCTGAATGAATGATAAACAATATTGTGTTAAATGCATATGTATTTGTTTATACTTGCGGTTTTCTCGCTTGTGATTGGACCATTGTTTCAAGCCTATACCTAAAAAGCCTGTATGGCACAGAATATTTGACTGGTTTTTAATTATGTTTGTTATATAATTGATGAAGTAAAGTGCAAAGTGTCTTATCCATAGTTAGACATAAAATAAATAACCTAAAAATGCATCATGCAGCAGAGTTGGAGTGGAGTGATTATATAACTCTTTGAGCAAGGAGCAGAAATGTCTGCCATTATACTCACAAACTTAGACTCGTGCAACCTCATTTTAGTGTGCAGTAGTGTTAAGATGCTTGTAGCATGTATGTCACAGTTGTCATATTATGACTCTTAAAGAACTTTGTAATTCAGGGCGCTATTCATTTTGCCCTTAGAGAAAAACAAATTCCAGAGTGCCTTATATGGACATGCCACTGACTACAAAAGGACACATGAGTTCAGAGGCCTGTGAAGTGTTCATCTGTTTCTGTATGTTGAGCTTACTGCATTTTTATGGTTTATTTAAAAAGCTACACATTAAAAAGGCCATTTCAGCAGATGTCTGGATTTTATCACTGCGATTCTTAGACCTCATGGCAGTAGCCCGTAAACCTCTCCCTACCGCTTCCCCACTCTTCCCCTCCTCCCTTTTCTCACTTCTCACCCCATTCATCAGCCTCCCCAGCTATTTTGTCCCCACTTTCCTGTCCTTCTTTTTTTTTCCCTCTTAAATGTACTGCCTCATTGTTTCTCCCCCTCTGCCCCATCCCAGGCCTCTGCCTTGGCGCTCCGCATCCTGCCTCTCACTGCCCGCCCCTTTCAGCAAGATGGATATCTCTGCGCTCTCCTTATCCATCTCCTTTGTGTGTTATTTTTTCTTCTACTTCTTCGTTTCTGTTTTATCACAGTGGTTTATTATCATTCTCCCTCTCTCTCTCCCCACACTGCTTTTATTAAATGTGCCAGCATATTTGAAAAATCGCTCCTGTTTGTCTAATAGTGGTAGAAATGGCCATTGTATGAGACCCCTGAGTGAATGCTACAAGAGCAGCTATAATTATGATCATCAGCCCTTAATGATAATGCAAGAGTGTATGCTTCTCTCTCTCTCTCTCTCTCTCTCTCTCTCTCTCTCTCTCTCTGTGTTTCATGTTCTTGCTCTGAGATGTACTAAATGGTGTGTGAAATGAATAGTATTAATAATAATTTGTGTCTTTTTAATAATTGGCAATCTCAACCATTTTGTCAAATGTGGTCTCACATGTACCCATGAAGTTTCCAAACTTTTTCCACAGAACTGTGAGGTGTGGTTGTCGTTCTGTAGTTTGCTGTTAGCATCTCAGTGAACCCTGAGTCTTGAGTTTCTTTTGAAACAGGAAAAATATTGATATTCTCAAAAATCAGCCCATCACATAGTTAAACAAAGCCAATACATTTGGTCGTATGTGTATTTGTCCCCTGCATATCACTGTATGATTTCAATCATGAGATCATTAAGGAGTCAAAACAAGAACATTTCTACATGCATGATACAAATAAGCTAACACTGTATATTGAATTTATAGAATCAGACTAACAACCCCACCAACATACCTGGTGTAAACCAGCAAGTGGTCATATTTGGTAGTTGCATGACTTTAGCAGTAGTAGGCTACACCTTTAGTAGCTGGTTATGTCTCTAATGCTGTATTTAAATATAATTATTGCATTTTACTGAATAACTTGATATACTTATATATCTGTCTACTTGCATTTTGCACATTTTATTCCCTTAACAATATCTGATTTCTTGCATTTCTGCACATTTTACTTTAACAATATTGGCTGCTAGAATACTGTATCAACCAAATACTGTATTCCATTGCTGTTCTGGTTGGTACCTCAGTGACTGCTGTGCTCATATATGCTGGGCTATCTGCTAATCTGCTGATATGTCATTGTATGTTACATCCTCCTTTGCATAACTCCACATACTCTCAGTACCATGTACTGCCTGTGTTTTGTTTTGTATTTATTGTAACTCTTCCGTATTTATTGCGTTGTATTGTCTGCACTGTGTATATTGTATTGTTTTGCACTTGTGTTCCTGTGTTGCACCATAGTCCTGGAGGAATGTTGTTTCGTTTCACTGTGTATAGAGCTGAAATGACAGTAAAGCCTCTTGAACTTGAACTTGGTGGTGTTATATAATAGTGTTGATTTTAGCTCTACTTTCTCGTGACTTAGTGACTTGAGTTAATTTAGTTTGTCTACCTCATAATTTTGACGACACATTTGCATTCGGGGGAAAATGCAGATAATTTAAAACGTATTAGCTTTGGAACATTTCTATTTGCCACAGGGACGATTTTTGAAAACAGCATTCTTTTTCCCTACAGAGAAAAATGGCTTTTTTGACACTCAAACTTGGGGGTCTATTACTGTTGTAGGGTTTGTCATTGTACATAGTAGCTTGTCACCAGTAGCTCAAAGTTGCCAACTCTGCTCACCAGACTTTCTGGAGATAAGCACAGCTTTCAAGACTCCATACTTAATTATCTGATTTGAGACTACAATCGGTTTAAACTCTGGATGCAGGTTTAAGACGTTTTACACTGCTCTGGAATGCTAGCTAGCTAGCACACTTTCCATTAATGAAGGAGAGTGAGCTGACTAGTAAGCTATTCAGAACCAGAACTAAACTTAGTCAAACTATACTGAGTGTTAAGGATAAGAAAACCTAATCCTTATGTAATTGAGTCCATTTTACCCTACAGCCTATTTAACATAACAAAACATTATTACCAATGTTTTGATTCAGTCTGTTTTCTTACATACGTACAAACGTGTTCCCTGTAGAGTTGTTATTTTTTGTGGGAGGTGCAATTAGAACTAAGATAATGTCACTAAAATGTGAAAACAGATCCATGTTTTGTTAGCAGTGATGTTAGTTTCAATTTTGCATATTCAGATTTCTTTCTGTAAGAGATTTTGAATGGATGAGAAAGGGTTAACGTGTAAATTGTTACTGTTAGCAACCAAGACAATCATCCATTTAGACAGCTTGTATTTAGTTTTCATCTAATACTGATGTCAACACATTGGTTTCTGTAAACTGTCATGAACTAAATAATTCCACAGCCATTACTGCTGTTTTAGTCTCAGAGTGCACCAGAATTTCCACCCCCCACCCACCTTTCTCCTAGGAATGATGCCTGCAGACCAGGCCTGGGCATCTAAAAATACTTATCACTATATTCTCTAGTTAAATAGTTAAATCATGATCATCGATAATCCACCCCCCCCCCAAAGAAATAAAAAATACACATGGTCCGTGGCAGCTTTGACCTATTTTCTATTCCATTATAGTTATGTGCTTTTTAATATTAACGATAATGTTTTAAAGAAGAACTCTTATTAAACTCACATATTAAAATATATATCACGGAGTAACCCACCATCTTATGAGAACTACTTCATCTGTTGCTGCAAAACATGTGCATTCATGAGCTCCTTCTACTGCAGGTTCGTGGCGACATGCTTTTTTAAAAGTGCTCCCTGCTGAAGAAACCTAAGACTGCAAGTGATTTCCAAAGGCCACATGCTTTCCACATTAAAAATAAGACATTTTCCATCATTACAGCGGCGTTGTCGTAAATCAGCTAACCACCGGGACACTTAGTCTGTACAGAAAATACTGCACACCGGCCATAGACAATGATCAGAGGAGCTTTCTCTTCAGGTTAGAGCGAACTTAGCTGCTCTACGCCAACTTTGTTAGCTCGTTTTTTTACTGCAGTGAGTTACTTTAAGGCGAGCTGAAGTTCCAAAGCACGTCGGCATTCATTTCAATTCACATAAAGTAAATTGAGGGGAATCTGTGAGGTAAAGCCAGCATTACAGTGCGAGAGAGAGAAGATAACACAGGCAGTTTCTTAGCAAACCTCTCTCTAAGAAACTGACTACTGGTGCGCGAGCCTGCACACTTCTTAAACGTAAATTCCAGCTTCCCGACACACATTTCACAGTGTTCAGTGGTAAATTAGTCCTCTCTAATTCTCTCTGTTCTTTTACCAAAATGGCGATTATCACTTTTTTACATCGTTACAAGTTACTTGTCCATTTTCAACTATATACCTCGCCCTATTGCCCAGGCCTACTACAGACCACCCTACAGGTACTGGTTTCTTAACTTGTCACGTTTTTCACTGCTCGTGAGTTTTTGTGTTTGCCTTTGTGTTTACCTCTTCCTAATCTACCAGTGACTGGATGCAAGTTATCCACCTGGAAGTGTAGCCAACCTTTACGCTTACAAACCTGATTTGGTCTGTTGTGTTTTCTCAACACAGGTTTAATTAAGATTTCTCTCTCTCTCTCTCTCAGTCCCAATAGATGCCACGGCTGGAATAAAGATGCTGTATGTGTTTGTGGACATCCAGATGGACACAGCTCACTTCCTGGACACACTCCGCTTCAACTTCCCCCTAGGACACTCCCTCGCCCTCGTCAGCACCATCCAGTTTGTGGCCGCTCTGCAGGTGATTTTTGGCCTCAGACATTCTAACTTAACTTTCTCTGTTATAGCCACCGATACACTCTGCTCAGCTGCTTCACACCCTCCGTTCTGTACATGTGCGTGTTTCACATGGTTGTGTAGGGGATGTGACGTGGGTGTGCTTTCTGCCTTGCAGTTGTGGTTATTTCTAACTTGAAAAAGGTGGAATAAAGTTAGTAGAACCAGAGTTCACCGCTGGACTTAAAGTTGAGCTTTATATAAGCCTAACTTCCTTAATACCCATATACACTCTCTTCCACACACATACACACGCACTATATTAAAGGGCCCTTGACATGGAAAACTGAATTTACTGGTTTTTTTCTTTTTAATCAAAAAACCTTGTTAAAGGTGCAAAACATAGGTACCACCCCAGTAGTCAATATATGGACATAAAGCTGCGCAAATAGTCCATTTTTATTTTTTTATTTTTTTTTTTGATGTCACAAAAACCAACACATTTACATATACCGTCTTATTCAGTCTACAGAAGTTTAGCCTCGCCCATTTACACTAAAATAATAAGCAGTGTTTCAGGCCAGACTGCTTTTTGCATGAGTCACAATAAAGACCAGCCAATCAGAACTGAGGTCATATATATAAATAAAAATACAATGAATTATTAGTACCATAGTAATACAAATCAGTTACAATGTCATTGCATGTAAATATGTTAATCCTATCATCATATTTGTAATCCGTCAGTACACGCATACACACACACACACAGGTAACCACACACACTCCTTCAGTTTTACATACATACAAAGTTTTATATGTATCGTTGCTGTCGGGACAAAACCTTGCATCTCTGAAATGGTAACTTTACAGGAGAAGGAAAAACCTGTGTGTACTTGTAATGTAAGTTAAAGCAACAAGATGTTTTATTCCATTAACTTGTATTGAAATTTAAGTATTTCCTTCTCCTGAAAAGACACCATTTTGGAGATGTAAAATTTTGGTCTTAAAGCATTTTTTTTTAAAGGTACATTTACTTTTAAACAACAGTTTCTCTCTCTCTCCCTCTCTCCCTCTCTGGATCTCTAAACTCCCGCTGGCAGGGCAGGCTTGCATCGTGACCAGTGTTATTTTGGGATGTTGCCGTGTTCATGTGTGTGTCATGTTCCGTACTCAGCTGTGTGTAGGCTTTTTTCTCAGTGTAGGCTTGTGTAGGGCGCTCAGGGTGGGCGCGGGGGGTCGGCCTGCACGCTCCTGACTGTGTATGTTATTCTCCGCACACTGCTGAGAGAAAAGCCTCAGAATTATACTTCTGCCTCCAACGTGCTGCTGCTGCTTTTGTTGTCTTAATTATTAAGCTCCTCCCTTTCATCTTTGTTTGAAATGGAAGCCTGTAGGGGTAGAAGAATGTACAGGGTCACTCTCCTCCTTTTACTTTTCTCTGCCTTCATCTGTCTGCATTCACATTACAGGATAATGTGGACATCAGCACGGATCTGTTCTTTGGCTCAGTTGTTTTGAGAATGTTTAGATTAGAATCCTTTTTTTTGCACATAACAATTCATCATTCCACACATCTTTAGTCACTGAAGTGCCAGTAAAAGCTGCAAAAACATCAAAAGCTGTGCATCTAGGGTTTTTTATAGCCTTCGCACCCTGATTGTGAAAAGCTGATGAGCTGTCAACTGACCTCCAGAGTAAACAGTATTTGTTACGGAGGCTTGTGCTTCTAGTTCATTCATTTTATCGCTACTGCAGTGACACATTGGCTTTTAAACATGATGTCATGACACATGTGGATCCTGCCTGTGACATTATTGGTTTTGAAAATGTGTTCATACATAGAGATGCGGGTTGATATGTGTTACTTATTGAACATGAATTTGAACCGTCAAGGCCAAAGGATCAGACTGAACAAAAAGATCAGACTTGATTCTCCTCTAAAAGTGATGTGTATGTGTGTGTCTCTGATAGGCGGTGAGTGCGGAACTGAAGCCGGATTATGAGGTGTTGGTGCCTCAGTGTCGGCCGCTGTCTCCAGGGGAGATCCTAGGCTGCACCTCGCCTCGCCTGGACAAACATGTTAACGCCATCATGTGAGGACCTGAGCTGTATTTCCACTGTTTATTTCTTCTCCTGTATATACTGTGTTTGGACACACATATTTAAGTTGAATGTGTTTGTTGAATCATGTTTTTCATGATATCAAAGGACCAATATGATTGAAAACTGAATTTTTCTATGGAGCATGTAGTATGTAAACATTATTAACATTTGAAGACGCACCTTTCCCAGATCCAAACTTAGTCACTGCTGTGCAGCAACTGACCATTTTGAATTCACTGTCATTGTAATGTCACAAAGCTTCCCAGACAAAATACTCTGGCTACACATTATTTGGATAGTCCACTAGAGATGTTTTGTAGATGCTCAGTCTATCTTTAACTAAAATTCAACTAAATATCTGTTAAATGCAACTGAACTTGAGGGTACATGTAAAAGTTTCTATTAAATCTATCAGTAACCTTGAATCTAACCCTAACCTTAACCTCAAAACCTGCACCTGCTCTCAAACCTAACCTTAACCTTAATGTTGTTGATAATCACCCGAGTATCACCAGGAAGTTTGTTAATAATATAAGTATCTGTAGATCATAAGTATCTGGTGGACCATCCAAATAAATGTGACCACTACTGTTTCAAACAAACAAATGATTTCTATTCTAAAGCTTGGTTAAAAGTCCATGTCCCTTAATGACCGCACCAATCTAGTCAGGTAAGAATTACCCTAGTCTCTTGAGATTCTGTCCATTTTATCCACCTCTTCCATTAACTTGTGCTTGCATTGACATTCCCACATTCCAGCATGATGACTGTAGGCTGTAATTGACTGGTTCAACAGACATAATGGAACACTAGGACAATTTGATGGAAAGGCAGAATCACCACTCCTCAATCCCAGTTCTCAATTTGAAACAGCAGGTGAAATGTAAAGTAGACACACACAAACTCTGGCTAAAATGCACACTCAGTTTTTGGAGAGGGCTAGAATGAACAGGAATTCAAGAAGCAGGTGTAATCCTTACCTGACTGGATTGGAGCTGTTATTAAGGCAAGGGAACTAGTAACCAAGTATTAGAAAAGAAATGATGCATGTGACACTGAAGTTATAAGGCGTGTTTCAGCCCAGACTGCTTTTTGAATGAGGCACTATACAGAGCGGCCAATCAGATCTGAGATCATTCACATACTTATACATAAAATAAAGCACAATAAAAATGTAGGATATGGGCCCTTTAAAGACATTTTGATAACATAATAATAATGCACTGTTCTTGAGTGGCACTTTCCAATAACCCAAAGACCTTTACACTGCTCAGGAGCACAAACATAGTGAGTACAGCATTAAGGACATTAACTGATTTGACAAAAAATGGTTAAATCCAAAGCATATGCATGAATAGTGAAGCCCGGAGTGAGAGCTGTGTCCGTATACGCATTACGCATTATGTCAAGCTCATACAGTGTGGGTGCTGGATTCTGGCAAGACTGTGCCTTGTCTCCACTCCTGTTTGTGATAGTCATGGACAGGATGTCAAGGTGTAGCCAAGTCATAAAGGCATCATGTGTGGAGGCCGGAAGGTGGCGTCGCAGAATTTTTTTTGCAGATGATGGTGTCCTTTTGGTGCCATCGCATGGATGCCTCCAGCACACACTGGAGCAGTTTGCAGCTGAGTGTGAAACGGTTGGTATGTGGATCAGCACTTCCAAGTCTGAGTCCATGGTCCTCATCCTGGAAGGAAGTGGCATGCCCCCTCCAGGTAAGGGGAGAGAACCTACCCCAGGTGGAGGAGTTTAAGTATCTTGGGGTCGTGTTCACGAGTGACGGGAAGAGGGATCGTGAGATTGGCGGCAGGCTGGGACAGTTAGTAGCAGTAATGTGGTCACTGTACCGGACGGTACTGGTGAAGAGAGAGCTGAGTCATAAGGCAAAGCTCTCGGTTTACCGGTCAGTCTACATCCCCACCCTCACCTATGGTCATGAGCTTTGGGTAAAGACCAAAGGAATGAGATTGCGGACACAACCGGCTGAAATGAGCTTTCTTCTCAGGGTGGTGGGCTACACTCTACTAGATAGGGTGAGGATCTCCGTCATCCACAAGGAGCTCAAAGTAGAGCCGCTACTCCTCCACTTTTAGAGGAGCCAGTTGAAGTTGTTCGGGCATCTGATCAGGATGCCTCCTTGTTGCCTCCCATTGGAGGTTTACCAGGCATGGCCATCTAGGATCAGACCCCAAGGTCATCCTAGGACCCGCTAGAGGGATTATATCTCCCAGTTGGCCTGGAAGCAGCTCAGGATCCCTCCAGAATGAGCTGAAGTTACGGGGGACAGGGTCATCTGGAATTCTCTGCTTTCTCTACTGCTACTGCGATCCTAGCTACCTAAGTAGATGTGTCCAAACTTTTGTTGTTATTGTATGTGGAAGCAGAACAAGTGCTGAGGCTGTGCAGCAGTTTTAATGGTGCAAGAGTCAGTTGCTGTCTCTGAAGCTTTTGTGAAGAAATGGGAGATGCTGAAAATGAGAATGGAGATATACTTGAGGGACTGGAGTGTGAGTGTGTGTGCATGCGTTGATGTGTTTGTCTTGCAAAGAGCCACACATGAAGTATTGATCCATAGGTATTACTTGTCTTACACACACTCGTTCTTTCTCTTTCATACACACACACACACAGGGCGTGATGTCTGCCGCACACCTCTCTCTCAGTGAGAGAATCAGGGGAGTAGGGTGAGAGAGTGAGTGAGAGAGTGGATTCATGAGTGGATGAACTTCACACCACAGTCTCATGTGTACAGACACCTACATTTGAAAATAAACCCACTTTCAGAAACTCTCTCTCTTAGATTATCACATGGTCATGTGCAACATCCCCGGTCAAATTATGTTTTGTTGATCTTATTTTCATTTGAAAAATTCCCAAAACATGTCATTTGAAAAGGGCTCCCATACGACTATTCATGTGGATATCAGTGTGTGCATTTGTCTTGCATGTGCCCATATAGCATGCAATACCTCCACAAGCACGAATGACAGCTGCAATTCTGGCATCAAAGAATTACACAGTTTGGCCAGATTTCATGGATGTCTTCCCTGGCATCTTACTCGCTGTTCCAGGTAGTCCCATGGATTTTCAAGGGGATTCAAATCTGGGGATTTTGCAGGCCAGTTTGGATGTGTGAATGATCCTGAATGTTCATCAAGCCAGTCAGTCACATTTGCTGTCCTGTGAACGCGAGTCATCTTGGAATACAGGGATAGGAATGTTATGTTTCTCGATATGATGATGAGCAAAAGGCAAAAGCTGGTTGTCCAGCAGCTCAGTGTCACCTCAACCAAAGAACCCATTTCCATATATTTAAAACACCCCCAGAACATCACAGCGCTCCTCCAGCTTGGACCACACCTTGCACACAGTCCTCATTGAAGGCTTCCTGAGGTGTATGATGAACATGACACCTAGCATCATTCACACACAGGCAGAAATGAGATACATCTGAAAATATTTCCAGTCGTGAACAGTCCAATTTTTCTGTCTCTTCGCCCACTATAGCCAGGCACAGGTTTCCTGTGGACTGTTCTTTCAGAAATTGGTTGTGAAGGATCTGCGTTAACTTTTAGAAGCAATTGTTGCCTGGAAGCAAAGTGATTTTTATTCACAAGCCGTGAAACATGGTGGAAACATGGACGGTCCCTGTCCGTCATTTTTGTCTTTTGGCCACAATTATGCAGAGAATTTTCTGTAGACTGGGATTTTTGACACTACTGGTAAACGCATATGACTGTACGCTTCAATACACCTGCGAAATCAGCTACTTCCTTCACATCTGGCCTTTCGCACACCCAAATGCCATCACTCCTTTTTGCCAATCCTTAATATCTGCTTTGGCGACCCAGTTTCCACACATTGAACAAGGCGTTCACTGTACCACCTCTTCTCAATCTATGAATTCTGTCAATTTGGAGTAAGATATGTGTGTAATCAATGTTTTAAGCAAAATGTGTTATCATAAAACCAGGAAAAAATGGCAAGAACTTACACTTAAACAAATTGTTATACTCAAGTAATCTTAGCTAAAAGCTGAACACTGCCACACTCCTCCTCATCATTTCTAGTTCCCCCTTTTTCTATGAAAGGCTGTAGCAAGATAAGCTAGTGGAAGATATAAAAGTGGCAAACAGCATTAAAACAAAGATAAATAGTCAAATACACATTACTTTGCTTGGCTGTTGAACATTCAGGCAAAGCTGCACACCTCAGTCACTCATTTAGCTGCTGCAGTGCTGAGGGACAGAGATAAATGGAGACAGCAGGATAGCTAATTTTGCTGATTCCTAAATGTCACAAGTCTTCAAATCTGGATATTTAATCTAGTTTCTGATCCCGGATTTGTAATCACTGTTAGGTATGACACTTGGTGGCCAATCAGGTATATTAACAGATAACTACCAGCGAATACAGAATACAGGACTGGAAACTGCATTCAAGTTTCAGATTTGAAGACCTACACTATACATAATACTGTACATAATGAGTGGCTGTAAATCTATATAAACTTAAAATAAAACATTGAAATAGCTCAAGTTCTCAATCCTAAGTGAGATTTATGTTCACCTATTGAAGTTAGTTAATTCATGATGGAACTTGGAACTTAGGCCACTAAGTTAGCAATGGAATATGAACTTGACTGTCCATTCAATAAACCAGCTCAACTGACTATAAAAAACAAAAATCTTTGTGCTGAACAAAGATTTGTCTTAAACTTACTTCTGTGTCATTGCTGCTATCTAGGTAAGCAAAAAAGCAGTCAGACTCATCTGTCACCTCACAGGACACAATGTTACAGCTCATCTGTCTCTCAACATCTGTGGGACATCAGTCATAAAAGGGATGTGTATGTGTATGTGTATATACAGTGTGTGTATATATATTTATGTATGTATATATATATATATATATATATATATATATATATATGACTGTTACAAATTGAAAGCTGGAATCTTTTGATTAAAGATGAACATACATACTTAAA